GTTGATCAGGGGTGATGTATCTTCCAATCTTGGAGCCAGCCTTGCCAATGCCTTGCTCTTGGATTTGAAGGCTATGGGTTTTCTTATCCCTAATATTAATATAAAAGATTATCTGTAATGGACCATGTGTTTATGTGTTGTTAAATTAGGAACACGTGCATTTATTCCTGCTAGAATGTTAAAAGGTCCACTACAAAACATGGAGGACCCAAAGATTGAATCCTCCATAAAGCGTAAAAAAAAACAACAAGACCGATATATATATATATATATATATATATATATATATATATATATGACAAGTATATGTATTAAACAATAAAATTTACAATGGACAAAGTCATCAACATTTGTGTGTGAACGTAAAGAGTTTGTATTTTGGTGAATGTGTATATAATGTTCATGTCGTCTCCCACAAATGGTAAGACGCAATCTTCTGCGAGAGCTTACATTGTAGATGAGTTTGCAGTTTGCTGAAAATGAAGAAATGAAAAAGAGAAAGAAACATGAAATCCAGTATTTATAATGTAGGGAGAGCGTGCCCTAGTGAACAGTTAGGAAATTGGAGTTTGTGAACCACCACTCAGAAGAATTTTCTGAAAATGAACTTTGAAAATCATTATTAAATGGTACGAAGCTTGACATTCTCAAGTCATGGAACGGGCAGTCAAATTAACAACAGAAACTTCCCAATTTGGGTATGGCTTTGAAGCAAGGCACCAGCACATAATAGCAAAAGTTGTGTGTCAGAAATTGAGACCATCAATTTTGTTTTAGAGCTCTTATATGGAGATATTTGACTATATATTAAGCCCTATTAAACTATTGTTTTTCCATGTTTTTTGTTGTATTTTCATAATAGAAAAAAATTTAATGTATTCAACTATTACTGCTTAATTCATGATGTAAAAAAAAAAAAAAAAAAGAAGAAAAACATCAGCATTCCAAATCCGTCACTGATAATGAGGGAGGTGGGGGACAGATTTTCAATTTAAAGTTTAGTTATAATTTCTTCATGATTTCATTTTGATAAAATAACATTCCCTGATTTAAATACTGAAGTTGTTTGGGTTTCTCATCAAAATTTAGGCCAAATCTTGCAAAATCAAAGATTTTTCAGTGCATTTTTCCCTATGATATTTGGCGCCAAAAGTGTCAGATCTAATTTTTTGTATCAATACTTAAGTCTATACACAATTTTTGGTACATTATTCTTTGACATTTAAAAAAAGAAAAAAAAAAAAAAAAAAAAAAAATAAAAATATATATATAAAGATATATATAAATATATATATATATATATATAAACGGATCTTCAGGGTAATGCTAGCTAGTAAAAAAAGGAAGAATTTTCAGGTATAAAATGTTAGCTGTATGGATATTTTATTTTTACAAAAACAATAGGAAAAAAATTAAATACAAACCATGGAAATTTTAGTAGGTTTAATTTAGGAAAATTTAATTATTAGAATAGTTTTTTTGTGTTTTTTTTTGTTCAAGTGATTTTCTGTTTTTGTTTGGTTTATTTTATTTATTTTTTTGTCATGTGGTCAATAGTCATTTTGGTTTATAATAAATACTGTTCCATAATTTTCTTTTCAGCCAGCATTACCTGAAGATCCGTTTAGGTGAAAGTTAGGTAGGTTTTCCCGGCCTTAGGGATTATCTTTAGGTTTTGCTCTAAAGATGTATTGTAATTTTTTTACGTAGCTGTCTTTTACTGAAGTTTTGGGTTTTTTTTCATTGGACTTGAATCATTGAATACTGGATTATTTCAACCTATGGTATACCCCCATTTTTCTTTTTTGATACTGATTTGTTATACTTTGTTGAGCTGTCAAAAGGTTCAGCAAACGAGTTGTGGATATATATATCTTTAAAAAATGTCATTCATTTCAGTTGATGCAATCCTGAAGTTTTACAAGGGAAACCCACAGATCTATGTATATATAAAAAAACAAAAAAAACAAATTACAGGTCTGAAACTTGTGCTCACACACAAAATGAATAGTCATCTTTTCAAAAACAAACTTTATTTTGATTTCTTTTAATAGTTTGAATGATATATTCAAAGCTAAAGCTACAGTGAAGTAAAAAGGGAGTGTTAAATCTGTCAAAACATCTGAATGCAGACCCTGGTGAAATTACATATTTAAAATAGCATTCTGCAGTTTGGAATTTTACACTTGAAAACTTGAATTACACACTTTCTTTCTTAATGCACACATTTCACTTGATGATTGCTCATGGTTTGTAAATGTCACAAAAATTTGACGCGAGTACATTTATTGAAGTTATGTATAATGGTTTTAATGAACAGAACAGAAATCTTCACAAAAAACTTTTTAGCTACCTCATGGCTTTCGTTGCACATAGCACAGAACATTTTTTTCATTTCATCTAGTTTAGTATTCAGCTCCTCTCCCAATTTTGATATCTCTATGAAAATGAAGTTATTCGACAGATCTAAGATAAATGGACTTCTTATTAAGTGTGAAGCTCTGAGCCTGCACAGCTTTGGCCACATAGTTGTCAACTGAGTTGAGCAAATCTTGTGCTCGACTTTGAAATTGGTATTTTTCACGAGATGATAGCAGTTTCAAAAAAAAAAAAAAAAAAAAAAAAAAAAAAAAATGGGTGTTGATAATTTCATTGTTGAATAAAATCTGAATTATTTGATTTTCCCAAAACAACTGTTTTTTTTTTTTTTTGGGGGTTCACCACTGCTGTAGACTCCTGGAAAAGGCATGGCACATGGAGCTAGAACAATCTGGGGGACGAAAAAAAAAAACAAAAAAAAACGGGTGGTCCAAAATTCCAATTTGACATTTAAACATCTTTTGGCAACAATTTAGATAAACAGTTTACAGATACTTTATGCATCCCATGTCAATGTATATTTTTCTCAAGGATATTGTAGTCTGCATTTTCTGCTGACTAGAGATCAAAAGGACTTCTTAGTTTCTACTAAAATGCATTTTATTAGCGTAAAATAATATATTTCCATTTTAACTACAAATTCAATGTGTGAATTCATCTTTGACAGAGACGTTTGTCTTTTATCTTTGCTTTTCCTTTTTTCTTGAGTGAGGATAGTAGCAGCCAGAAGATGCCTTCATATTCTTTCTTGAAACCTAGACAAGAAAATACAGAAGTAGCTACGGTCATGAATGCATTCTAATCAAGGAAAAAAGTCCAGCTTTCACCAATAATTGTGAAATATTACTGATGACATTGTTGGAAGAAAAACATCCATATTTCTGGGATTTGCCATTTTGACTTTCAAGATGAGAAAAATTCAACCTACAGCATTTCCATACCTGCGTCTTGGAGGGTAGCAAAAACGCTGACTGGAACATGTCACATGCTTTAATCAACAGACATCTGTTGCTTGGCTGCATGAAGAGCATGCTGGTTTCATGGAATGACATGGCCACCATTGTGGAAGCAGGATTATAGTCAATGCTATCCATCACAGATAGGCTGAAAAGACCTTTCCTCAGTTTGGGAGGACAAATCACACTTTTACATATCTTGCTACAGCAGCATCTACCAGCTGAGATATGTAAAATACTCAATAATATGAATACTGAGACCATGGTTATGGAGCATTTCTACTAGGTGTCTCTTGTCTTGGCATGAAGAGACATCTCTATGTAGACTGGAAGTTGGGTTTGTCTCTGGAATGCACCTTTCTATTTGGCAAAGCAGTTGTATTGGAAGAGCTGATTCATTTATTTTAGTAGTAGTTATGACCAAGTTTAGTTGAGACTGTCTGCTCCATGCAAAGCTGGAGGTAATGAATCATATATGAAATCATGAAGATTGCCCTCATTTACATTTGTGATCAAGCATGTGCCTATGGAATACCTCTCATTTAGCTGCAGTCATGTATTGTCACAACTTTGGTTGTATCTTTTCACACAGGAAACACTGTTGCACTTTCATGCTAGTTCTTCATTTTTAATTGTCCTTCTCTTGGATCATTGAATTTCAGCTACAATTTTAGTGGCATGCAAGTTTATAACTGTCAAACATTGTGACAATTTTAGTGTAGTTGGCACTTTGGTGTGTCTCCAATACCACCCCCTTCATTAAATCTGGATGGGTCTAAATTGATCAGTAACTGGTAGATTAGCAAAAATTATGGTAGTTTTTTTGCTATGATGAAATAACCATCAGAACTACACCCATAACAGGTGTGGGGGGGGGCTTGTCTGACAGGCAACACTTTCAATCAGTTTTAGGAGTACAACTCAACAGATTAGTGGATATATTTTACAGGTTAAGGCTTTATCTTTTTACCACCTAGCTGTACAAAATACATAAGCACATTGAGATATGGGATACCACTAAGTTTCTACATACTAGATGAATCTCCTGCGCTAGTAGATTGTCAATTTATGCGCAGTTATCTAATAGCGTAATACTACAACTAGTTATACTTCTAGTTGAAATATATACAGAAGCTTATCAGATAGTATTTGGGGACACTCAAGTATACAACAAACTACAGTTTAGTAAACTTCAGCAACTAGTACACTGTAAACTGACAGTGAACCCTATGCAGAGTCTCACAGCAGTGATGTCACCAGTGTACCCTGGTTATGCTTTAGCATCACTCTTATTCACATAATGTAATAGAGCTTGACGAATCATCTCAATACATATCTTAAGTACAAATATTGAGAATGAAAATACAAATTTTGAGTTGCTCAAAAATTAATAAACTGGATTAGATACAAACAAAAATATATATGGGAGGGATTAAGAAACTTATGACCCAAGAACTTCTGTATGCTCTAATGTCATTAATTTCTCATATCTACATTGCACAAGGGAAAGTGACACATTCATAATATTGAAACACTTTCATTCCCACCCATTAGATAATTAAATTTCTTCAAAGTATGAAAGATTTCTAGTGAAAAAAAAAAAAAAAAAAAAAAAATTTTTTTTTGTTTTAAAATGTATTTATTTCAAGATGAGAATAATGATAGTTAATCGAAGAGTCCAAAACCCATGTCTTCATCTGATTCTTCTGATTCTTCTTTCTTTTCTTCTTTCTTGGCTGTAAAGTAAAATGTTGCAATGAATTAAATTTATATAAATCTTGTGTATTAGTTTTACAACTTGTAATGCATACACTAATAAAATACATAAATCAACTTTTCCAAAACTTACCTTCTTCTTTGGCAGGGGCAGCAGATGAGTCAGCAGCAGCAGCAGGAGCTCCAGCAGCAGAGACAGCTACACCACCAGATGGGACAGAGGCAAGTTTCTGTTGACCTAAAATTTCAGAAAGGTATTTTTTCAAAACCATTTCATACCAAGCAGACAGAGATAGATAGACAGGCAGAGATAGATAGACAGGCAGAGATAGATAGATAGATGAGATAGGCAGAGATAGATAGATAGATAGATAGAGGCGAGATAGATAGAGATAGATGAACAGGCAGAGATAGATAGATAGATAGATAGATAGAGATAGATAGATAGAGGCAGAGATAGATAGACAGGCAGAGATAGATGGAACAGGCAGAGATAGATGAACAGGCAGATAACTAGATAGACAGGCAGAGATAGATAGACAGGCAGATAGATAGATTAGCAGGCAGAGATAGATAGATAGATAGGATAGATAGATGGAAAAGGCAGAGATAGATAGACAGGCAGAGCGGAGATGATAGGCAGAGATAGATAGACAGGAGAGATAGATAGATATGAACAGATAGACAGGAGAGATAGATAGACAGGCAGAAATAGATAGGACATAGAGAATAGATAGACAGGCAGACTCAATACAGGCAGAGATAGATAGAGACAGGCAGAGATAGATAGACAGGCAGAGATAGATAGACAGGCAGAGATAGATAGACAGGCAGAGATAGATAGACAGGCAGAGATAGATAGACAGGCAGAGATAGATAGACAGGCAGAGATAGATAGACAGGCAGAGATAGATAGATAGCAGAGATAGATGGAAAGGCAGAGATAGGACGGGCATAGATAGATGGACAGGCAGAGATAGATAGACAGATAGATAGATAGACAGGCAGAGATAGATAACAGGCAGAGATAGATAGATAGATAGATAGATAGATAGGCAGGCATAAGAGAGATAGATAGGATAGAGATAGACAGGCAGGCAGAGATAGACAGGCAGGCAGAGATAGACAGGCAGGCAGAGATAGATAGATAGATAGACAGATAGATAGACAGATAGGCAGAGATAGACAGACAGGCAGAGATAGACAGACAGGCAGAGATAGGCAGACAGAGAGAAAAAAAAAAAAAAAAAAAAAGAATTAAAACAGAAGATAATGATTGAGATTGCATTTAAATTTTTGAGAGAAGAAACCTAACAGTAAATGTTAGGTCCCAGAAGGCACAATGAGTATCTACCAGGTTATCAGTCATGCTGAAGGCCTGTAAAAATGGTTCTCTAATGATTTGAAGGGATTTTTTTTTTCCTGTAAGTCAAATGGCTAAATGATCTTAGAAATGAGAATATTTAATTTCAAGAAATTTAAACAATCTAAATCAATGAAGATAAAAAGAATCAACAAAGCTTGCTCTAAAAGAATTTTTCATTTCATGAGGGAATTAGAATAAAGTCATAATGATAAAACAAATCTAATACATACAAAAATATTTTAACATTTTTGTTACTGAAATTTTTTTCCATACACCTATTAAAAAGGTTTTAGTGTTGCTAATCAGTTAAGCATACATTCATTGAGCTCTGCCCAAATCAGACAAGTGTTGGATTATAGATAGTCATCATTTTAGCACCACTTTTTTAGTTAAAAAAAAAAAAAAAAAAAAATTTAGTTATACACAAAGCACATTCTAATGTACAATTTATGATTGATGCTTAATGAAATCTCTCACATCAAATTAGTTAGCAACTGCATTAGTGAGAATTATTGCCCCCCCAAACTTACCAGCTGCAATAAGTGCTTCAAGGTCTTTTCCTTTCAGTTCAGAAACAACAGCTTTCATTTTATCGCTTTCAGCCTCAATACCCACACTGCCAAGAATTTTTTCAATATCTGACTCTGTGGGGTTCTTAGAACCTCCAAGAGTGGCAAGAAGATAAGCGGCCACGTAACGCATTCTGAAAAAACATTTCATAATTACATTAATGTGCACCATTAAAGAGAGAATATACAATTTTTTTCATTAACCATGAAGGGCCTAATTTGTCAAATACAACGCAAATGCACTAGTGGTACATTTGGCAGCATATTTTCTACAATTTTCAGGGAATAGGTTTAAAATTGGTTATATTTATGTGGAAGAATGTTGACAGTCACTATGCAGTGTTATCTATATTAGCAGCATGTTTCTGTGCTCACTCTAGTATAAACAACAAAACCAGAGTGATCTGTAAACCCCACCTCCAATTGTCACTTCCTGCAACCATAAGTGAGTATTGGGAGATTTACTGCACAGCTGTTTCAGGAGTTAACTTATTAGGAAAAAGATTAAAAATCTCGGATTAAAGAGAAGATTTTAACTTTGTAAAGTTAGTTCAGAGGGACTAGGTCCACACTCTAGTTAGGTACCTTCTTCATATCTGTAACATTCTCCACTTATCCCAACAAAGTTTCTCTTAGAGAATATTTTAAAATCCTGAATGAAGAAATTGAAAATTCAAATAAGTTTAATTCAAATTGAGACATTAATAACATATACACATATGCATAAGAAAGATCTATTTCTCTCAGGTACTTCACATGTTTGTGTTTAACAGAATTTTTAATAAATCAATCCAACCTCTAAAGTTTTCTAACAATGTTTTGGTTACATATTTGATAAATTTCATCGTTAGGAATTCCTTGTATCTCATAAGACTTGACTTTGCAAAGAATTTGAATTAAGTATTCTTTGAATTTTCAATGCATTTATGAGACTGGAATTCTGTCTGATTACTGAAATTTTCACCCACCCAATCTTACTATGCCATTTTTCAATTTCTTTTGAGAGAACACTAATACGTTTCTGAGAATATAATTTAATGTCATTGGAATTAATTAGGTAGAATTTGCATTGGGAAATTACAAATAAATTTATAGAAGATAATGGCAACCATTGATATATCTGATAACCTTTCTGAAGGTGACTTGTCTATTTATAAATGACGAAACATTATTCGTCAAAGAGATATGAATTTGAGCCGAGGTATTATGTACACTATTTACATTATTCAGACTGTCTTCATTTTTGTTGCCATATTTATGTTTCGCTCATTGTATGCTCCAGCCTTTTCCAGGTGGTTAGATATCAAACGGAACCCTTTATTTTGCTCATTGGAGTAGACTGTTCTATTTCCACGTGCCATGTATAATGGATGTCAGTTATCTCCTGTTAATTCACCTCTCCAAGTTCTCCACTGCCTTAACCAGGTATTGAACTCACAACTCTTTGGGTCCTGTCACTTGATCTAACCAACACCTTTATCCACTGCGCCATGTGTCCTTAGCCATGAGATTGCTAAAAATGAGCATAGCATGATGAAAAAGACACCAAACTTGACAAAAACAAAATTTTATTGTCTAAATGGTTGTTATTAAGAGGACCAAAGTATTTTTTAATTATTTTTTTTCTAAATTTGATTAAAAAAAAAAAACCTAGTTTCTCTTTGTATCACCGGAACTAGTAAATAGCATAAATTTTGAGCAAGTTCCCCCACCCAGACAATTTCAAAAGATTTGCAAAAATAAAACCATTCACAAATGATAGAAATTATGTTTTCTTTTTTAAAGTCATGGCAAAAATATTTTTATATTAATCTCAGTTATAACATTTTCCCATAAATGAAATATCAAAATTAATAAAATGAATGGAAATACAAGTAACACAGTTAAATGTAATAAAATGTACATAAAATTATAGTATTTTACACACACTTCTGATAAAATATCATAAAAAAAGTACCTATAAACCAATTAGATTTATTTTTGAAATTTTAATCACTATCAAGCCTTATTTTAACTCTTATAATATATTTCCCATAAAGCATTGTAAACGTAAAAGGTGAAAGCTTACAAACAAAAAAAAACAAAACAAAAACAAAACATTGAAAGTTTCCCTTAAAAATAAGGAGGTAAATGTTTGTTCACTTAAATCTAAGTATTTATATCACATCTGTCCTTCCGTATGATCATAAACTGTCTATGTGATGAATTCATCAACCATTACCTGTCAAGTAATGCGAAATGTTATGACCAGCTTCGTTTAATTTTTAAACTACTTTTCGGTGCAGAAATTAATGTTGGTTTCAAAATATTTTAAATAAACAAAACTTCTAATTTTCTTTAAATTCGTTATGAAAAAAATAATTGATTTTTAAAAGAACTTGAAACATTTTCATTTTTGAAGCTTTCAAACCACTTCAATTAAAAGCTAAAAGGATAAATTATCTGACTCCAGAAAAATCGTTTTTTTTATTGGAGCATTTCAAGTAGAAATTTGAATGATTTTTAGTTGATGCTTCCGAAAAACCAATCAAAACAGCCATATTTATTTTATTTTTTTTAGAGAAATGTAAAACTTTTTTTCAAGTTTGAAAATCCCACTAAAATTAAATTTCTGAAACATTACTTCTGTAAAATTAGCAAATTTAAAGTTAAATTAATCTTTTCTGAAACAAAAATCAGACTTAGCATAAAGTTTTCTAGACAAACATTTCTTGACCTTGAAGTCTTGACATTTTTACGTTTCCATCGATAATTTGATGGCTGAATGTGTTGACATAGGTATCTTCATGAGATCACTAAAAAACAGCATAGCATGATGAAAAAGACGCCAAACTTGATGAAAACAATTTTAGCATCTAAATGTTTGCTATAATTGAGAGGAAAGATCAAATTACTTCAATTGTTTTTTTGTTTTTTGTTTTTTTTAAATTTTAGCACATTTTTTCCTGTGTGAACAAACATTCATTTTGAAAATCTTACAAAAATAAAGATTGTTGGATTTTGATGAGACTTTCAGAAACTATTCACAAATGACGGAACTTATAAGTATGCTTTTCTTTTTTAAAGTCATGGCAGAATTTTTTTTTCTTTTCATATTTCAAATTTAAACAATCAAAAAATACTTTGACCCTTCCTCTTAACATAATAAGACCATTTTCATTACGTTTTGATCAGTATGCCGATATTTTTATCGTCTTTGTGGAGGCAACTGTAAATTGGTGTCTTTTTTCATCATGGTATGCGGGGGGGTTAGAAATATCAGAAATACGTCAATCAATACTCCCAGAAACAAAAAAACCAAATAATTACTGAAAGCTTTAAACTTTTATTTCAGGTTTCTTTTTACGGACTATTTTAGTGACTCAATTATTTTCTCCTTTCTCCACACAATTTAATTTGGGAAAGAAAAAAATGTAATGTCGAATATATCAGATAAAACCAATCTTTCATAAAAATATCAGACTGGGGCGGTAATTAAAATTCATCATATAACATTCAACATTGCAGCTGACCATAAGAAAAATAACATGTATGTTTTGTATGGGTACCTCCACTATTTCTGAATATACACATACATATAACAGCATTTAAAGCTTATTTGGGGAAAGAAAGAAAGAAAGAAGCATTCGTAAAAATATCAGACTGGGGCGGCAAAAAAAAAAAAAAAAAAAAAAAATCACCTGCATGTAACGAATATCTTACTACTTGTACCATTAAAATTATTATATATAACAGCATTTAAATTAAAGCTTATTAAAAAATACATCAATAATATTCTCAGAAATCTAAATAAGTAATTAGTAAATTACTGAAAGCTTGAATTTTTTTATTATTGTTATTTCGGGTTTCTTTTTACATACTCTTTTAGTGACAATTAATTAATAATTACCAACTTTCTCCACACAATTTAATCTGGGAAAGAAAAAAATGCAATCTCCACTTTTTCATGGGAAAACAGCATAGCATAATGAAAAAGGCCACAAACTTAACGAAAATAAAGTTTTATCGTCAAAATGTTTATGTTAAGATGAAAGACTAAAGTATTTTTTTTAAATCATTTTTTTTTAAATTTTTTAATCCTTTCTAACATGTTCAAAATTTTGGTTAAAGTCTTGTTTACATCATCGCAGTGACATGAAAATAATTTTTTTTTGCACTTTTTTCCGTTGAAAACACATTTTTACAAGAATTTCAAAATCAAAGTAATTGTCCGATTTTAATAAAATTTTCAGGACTTATTTACAAATGAATGAAATCCTTTTTTTTTTTTTAAATTTTGGTAAAAAAAATATGTTACGAATCCAAAAGTGCAAAGATTAAAATAATTTTTTATTTTGTATTTTTTTTTTTTTTACTTAATACGTTCCTTATTTCCATGTATGGTAGACAGAGATTGCCATTATTATGAAAAGGTTTTGTTGTCTAATTTTGTCCCTTTATTCTAATAAATAAACATAGGAGTAAAACTAAATAAAGAAAAAAACGTTCACTCAGATTTCTAATAATTTTCATTTATGGTCATCTGTAGTAGCTGTCATCATTCGTCAATCAACACTCAAATCAAACAAACAGTACCAATCTTTAATAATTGGTTATATATAACTTCTTTATAAGTAATATTTCTTTTAAATTAGATTAATTTAAATTTTCTAATTTTACTAAAATAACGTCAAAATTTTTAAAATATTTCAGAAAATCGATAAAAAAATTTTTAAAAATTTTTAAAATTAAGAAAATAGCGAGTTTTAAAGAACATTTAAGAAATCAAAATTAAATTTGACATTCCAATTTATAGTTCTATTTGAAATACACCAGAATTGTTTACTTAATGGAAATAAATTTAATGATTAAACTTTCAATTAAAGCTAAAATGACAACTTCAAGAATATTTTTTTCATTTTAAAAAATTCATTTTAAACTTAGGTATCAAATATTTATGCTAGTCTTGTGGAGGTGCCTATTTTTTTTTTTTTTTTTTAAATATCTCACTATTTCGGCATAAATTTTTTTATTTATATTTAAATGTTTTTAAAAGGAAAAAAAACAACAAAAAAAACTAAAAAAAAAACATTCTTGAAATTTTATTTTAGCTTAAAAAAGTTTAATCATTAAATTTATGATTTCCATTAATTAA